TGTTGCCATGCATGCACAAATAAACCAGGGAAATTCAAGTGGCTGTCCAAGAGTCCTGGAATGGTTTGGCTTGAAAGGGACCTTCAGAGATTATGTAGTTCTAACCCTCCCTGCCTGACTGCTGGGGGCACCCAGTTCCCTCGTGCAAGTTTGATGTAAGAAGCGCAGAGGGAGCCCGGCTCTCATCTGTGGGTGGGCTCGGTCCCACACTTGACCGATGGCCTGGACATTTTCACACCTGATCTGTGCCCAGGTCCCTTCTCAGCTGCTCCTGCTGTGATGAGGTGGTGGAGCCTGCAGCAGAGTGATGTTGCTCAGAGCAGCCCGCTGCTCACTGCAGCCCATGGTGCTTGTTTTCCAGGAGCTGTCATCCACTGCTGTGGAGCCTCAGAGGCAAGTGAGGAGGAGGAGGAGAGGGTTGAGCCAATTCTCAGAGATGAAGCACCTCAACTTGGGAATGCAGGAGGTAAGTGGGAATTTGTCTCACTTCCATGTTTCCAATATGGAAAGCTGTTCTGTAGCCCCCCAGTCCCACTGGTGGCCCTCAGCATTGCCCACAGAGGAGCCTCACATCCGTCCACACCCATCCCAAAGCTCTGCTGAAGCAACTGGTCACTGGAGAGGCTGTGTGGGATGTTTTGTAGGGCTGCCCCAAGATGCTCCCTGTGCAGCACCTGTGGGGCATTGCTCCCATTTACCTCATCAGGTGGCTGACAGGAAATTTGTGTAGGAACTTTGGCTGTAGCAGCTTGAGAGAGCAGCACAGAGATCAGAGAGAGAGGGAAAAGCCTCAGAAGTCAGATGAGTCTTGCCCAAGTTCCAAGGGCTCCCACCTCCAAGTCTGAGGTGCTTTTCTGCAGGCAGTGAAAAGTGTTTCCAAAGACAAGTTCACAGCAGAGAGAATTTCTTGCTGCCAGGAGACATTCCAGTTTACTTTAATGCAGTGTATACTCACGGATAAGTGATTATGGGAGAAGATTTTCCTCATGGTCCCTCCACTGGTCCAGTGGCATGGACCCAGGACGAGATTAGGATGATTCTGGCTTGGGGAATAGGCCCCTCCAGCTATGACTCTGCATTACTCCAAGACACAGCTGCTCTTCTGCATCCGTTTCCACACTCAGCACCTCGATCTCTCCTCCTCTCCCTCCAGGTTTTTGATGTCCGGCCACTGTGGGGTGAGCTGCAGCCAGGAGAGAGCCAGCTGGTCACCTTCTCCTTCTTTGGCTACGCCAACATCGTTGCCCGTGTCAGGGCTCTGTGCCACGTGGAGGGAGGCCCCACCTACGAGGTGGTGCTGACCGGGCAGGCTTCGTGCCCCAGCTACCAACTGGACGTGGAGGAGATTGACTGGGGGCTGCAGGTACCACAGGCTTCTCCTGGCACAGCTCCTTGTCTTGGAATCGTGGCCACTGGGTTCCTGCCTACCTCGATCCCAGGCTCTCTGCCCTTCTCAGCTGCTTTGTTTGCTCTGGGGCTTGCAAGACAACCTTTGAGAGCTATGTCCAGCATCCAAGCTGGTTTAAAATGGCCATCTCCACCCCTCCCTTCCTTCCTGGCCGAGGGACATCACACCATCCCCTTCAGGGCACCTAACACTGCCTCCTGGGGAAGACAAGGGGTCCCAGTGAAGATGTCCAGAGGGACATGTCCCTGAGATGTCCCTCCACAGATCTGCTCCTAAAGCTTGAGCTCCAGGGAGATGCTCTTGTCTAATGCTCTTGCTTGAGCCACAAAATAATCCAGGGCGGAAGTTGGGCTTTCAGTCACTTCTGTAGCTGAAGAGAATGTCCCAGAATAATCCCCACTTTACTTCTTTATAGTTAAAAGCCCACAGATATTTCCAGCTGCTGGCCCTGTCTGTGTTGTCCTGTGTGTCTCTCTTGTCACCTGTATGTTTCTTGCCAATATTTGCATGCAGGTGCCTTTTCTTCTGGAATGCCTCTCTTAGAAATGCACTGACTTAGATACAATCAAATGGGGACAAAGTTGTCAAGTCAAAAGAAAAGTGTTCACTAATAACGATTCAGCTGAGCGGGCTGTGCATCTCCCTCCTCAGGAGCTGAGCACAGACCCCTCCATCACCAGAACAGCTTCTTTTATACCCTTTATAGCTGTCTGGGGCGGTCCCTGTCCCCTTTCCCTTTGGATGGGTACTCGGGAACTTACATTCTCTCTGACTGCCAACTTTGCTGTCCCCTCCCCTCTCATCCTATTTCCTTTTCAGTCAGGTCTTCAACCCTGCCCCTCTGTCAGCTCACAGCAACACCCAACAAACCAACCTGAACAAATCAAAACAACAGCACATAGAACCAATGGCTTTCATTCTTTCACTTAATAACCTGAACAACTCACACACCTTGGTGCCACTTCCTGTGTTTCTCCTGGCTGTTGGTAACCCCTCAGAGTGCAGAGGACCTGTGTCCCCGGCTCCATTATTACTGGCCCTGACAGAGAGGTTTTATCATCTCTCTGTAGTTGTATGGTTGCATTGTAGCTGTTTGTTTTCAGCCCCATGAAAGAGGAAGGAGATTGCCAGCATCAGGCCTGTATCTGTAACGTCCCACTCCTCTGTCCTCTGTCCAGGTGTTTACCAAAGTCCTCCAAGCAGAGGTCACCCTGCACAACACCGGGGTTATTGAGTTCACCTACGTGGTGCCAAACTCCAGCACTGGCACTGCAGCAAACCCTCTGCCTGGTGTGCCCGTGGTCATGCCCTCCACAGTGAGTAGTACATTGGCTCTGGCTCTGTGTCAGATGGCCCAGGAGAGGGTTAAAGGAAAAAAAGAGGGTAAAAGAGCGGGGGGGAAACCCCAAACCCAGCCCTGAGAGTCAGGGCTGTAAGCAATGGGTGCTGGGGACAGAGAGGTCAAGCAAGTGCTCGCCTAATAGACTCCCCCATGGCCTTGGCTGGCAGGTACCACTGGCCAGAGGCACGAGTGCTGAGCTCTCTGGCTGTGCTGATACTGGAGTTGGGTGCTGCTGCCTCTTCTGAGGGTCACTTTATTCCTTGTCCCTGTCTCCCTGCTGCCAGCATTAAGCAGCATTTACATATTCCTTGCTTGGGCTTGAAGCTCCTTTGCCAGAAATGGCACAGTCCTGTGCTGGTCCCTCACTCCTCCAGCTTTGCTTCTCTGCAGGAGCTTTGTGGGGCAGTGAGGGGACCAGGGAGGAGCGGGGCTGAAAGAGCAAGAAGAGTTTGCAGCATCCCACCATGCTAGCTTCTCGGTCCTGCCTGGATGTCTTGGAGCTTTAGCAGTATTCCTGTCCTTGGCCCTGTTGGAATGGGAAGGGGAAGCCAAAGGCTTTCCCATGGTTTCACGTGTGTCTCGTGCAAGGGGTGACAGGCTGGTGTCCTCCTGCTGCGAGCACCTGCGGACACAGCTCTGCATGGGCCGTGCAGTCAGTTGCTGCAGCAGCATCTTGGCACTGGAAGCTTGGCCGGGCTCCCTGTGGCTGCAGCCGTGTCGTGTGCCAGGGTAACTCAGGAGGCCGAGGGGCAGCGTTTGTCCTGCTCAGCTGCTTCTCCCTGCAGTGGGAACAGCAGTGGGGAGCCAAGGGACCAGGCCAGTGTGCAGGGGCGAGGCAAGGAAAGCTGCAGCTGTGTCCCGTCACCCAGAGCTGTGTTTTCCTTCAACCTCGCTGCTGTGAGCCCAGCCTGGGGTTTGGACAGCATTTCTGAAAGCCCAAAGAGGAGGATGGCCCTTCCTGCCATCACTCGCATCCCCACATGTCATCCTAGTCTCTGCTCCTGCATTTCCAGAGATGTATGTTTGCAAGAAATCATGAGTCAGGATGGTGTAACTGCAGAGGTAGAAGGTGTTTTTGTTGGGATCATGAACAAGGGGTCAGGCCCTTTGACACCAGCCTGGAATTGTTGATGTGCTGTGACAGGGGCTGCTGGCCCTCCTGAGAGTGCTGGCAGAGGGCATGTGCCATGAGCAGCAGAGCTGTGCTCACATCAGGCTGTGCTGGGGCTGCAGCCTGGAGAGACCTCAGGAGGACACACTGCACCCCAGGATTGGAGGCACAAGCTTTTGGGCACAAGGAATGTAGAAAGGGATGTGGTCTGATGTTTTTTTCTAGATGAGAACCTGTCTTCTCAGCCTGTCTGTCCCCTGAGCCATCCCCCATCACATCTTTGATGCAATCCTTTCCTCCTGTCCCATCCCTACAGGGTTCCATTGCACCTGGCGAAAAACAAGTGCTGAAAGTCTATTACCTGCCAGGAAAGCAAGGAGTCTTCTGCAGGACTGTCCAGATCCAAGTGGCTTATCTGGAACCAGCAGAGATCTTCCTGAAAGGAGAGGGGACCATGTCTAGAATCACCAAGGACCTACCCCGGAAAAGTTCAAAAGGTGAGCACTACCTGTCATCTTCCAGAAAGATCCCCCGGGTTTTCCCCCTACCATAGCGCATTGGGCAGCTCACACCCATCTCCAAGTCTGGAAGCTTCAAGGCTGCCAGACCAACACTTTGGCCTCTCTGGTTGCTTCCTGAGTTTTGAGCAGTT